ATTGTCATCTAACACCTTGTGGTGGTAAACATGAAAATGTTGCGAAAATAACACTGGGAGGGAAAAATAAGAAGAATGCTAGTGTTAAAAATAGCCTGTTTGCAGCTTCCCTCAAAATCTTGTTAAGCTTAGTAGCCGCTTCGTTACAATCTGACTATGTGTAGTGTGATGGTCAGAATATAGCCGAAAGCACGAATGGTAGGGATTTTTATATTACAGAGCGAGAAAATGGAACTTTTTAAGCACTTTAAAATTGCACCACTAACCAGTGCAACTTCTATGTCTTTTTAATGTACAGGGGACAACGCGAACAACTCATCAACATTTTTTTTTGCCCTTCTGTAACTTTGCAAAGAATGTAAATTGGCGCGTTCTACAGCAAAACGGTGCAACAATTAAAAGGAAATTCGTGTATTAGTGAATTTTCCAGTTCCTTTTGTGCAATCTGATAGGTTGAGTTCCAAAAAGGGGTCGCCGAGGGTTCCAAAAAAGATCTTTTCATTTACGTTAATATTTGACGAATTGACCGTTGTGGGCTGAGAATCAACCACACAAAACAAAATCACACTTTTGTCTTAGAACCTTCACTTATTTAGAGCGTAAATAAAGAACGCTTGAAACTGGAGAGTAACTCCATCATCTAGTCCTTAGGTCGTTTTACAAAAGCATATGCAACATAGCACAGAAAAAGAGACTGTAGAATAATTCCAAAAAGTGCCCGGAATTTTCCCGAATTGATTTAATTTCTTCAAAGATCTGCCACTTACAACCCATCTCGCTGAGAATGAAACTACTGTTTTCTCTATATAAGGCAAGTTAAAAGACATTGAAAAAAAAAAACATTTTCCAAGGAAGCTTCTCTGCGCACCAAATTGCCTTATATCGACCTCCCCGTGTTTGGGGTGCTTTCGGCTCACACTGAGAATAGCAAGTCTAAAGTCCGTTTGAGACTGTACAGAGTGTTCATAAGGCACTATGTTCTGGTCTTTCCAACAATTGTTACTTACTTAGAAATGTAGAATCAACTTAAAAGAAGTGTTCAATTTGGAATTTTTCTCTTCGATATTTGTCTTAATGCATGGACGAGAGATCCAAAATATGATTATTAAATAGCAATAAAGTGATAGGGTTCGAGCACTTTACTCACACGGGAATTTCTCAACGGAATAGTGATTGTAAGTTACAACATGCGCCAGCAGGATTCCTCCCATCAGTTGAGATACAGCAAAGAACATTAATCTAGAACCAAGTGTAGCCGTTAACTATGGCAAGAGTTTGTGTTCCATACCTGTCTTGCATTGTGGGAAGGAGATACAACTGCATTAACACTAGTAACCAATGTAGAGCGAGGGCGATCTGAAGATACAGCTTTTTAAGGTGTCGTTTGAGTTGCCAACGACACACACCTGTTCATAAATAGCTCGTTCTCTGTAATATTTATAGTAGTGGTTGGGCATTGCCTGTACGAACACAATCGACTGCAGCAGCCAACTGAGACGCAGCAGAGGTAGCATTATTGTCCAGTAGATGTGCTGATACGGCAGGATGGATAAGTACCAGTTGTCGGCATTCTGAAATGGGTGCATGAATAGAAGTGCTGATGGGGAAGAACGAGGAGATGCTCGAATTCGAGTTAAAAAATTTTTATGTTACTGTTCGGAAGAATTGTCCCAAAATTTTTGACTTGAATTTAGAGGTTTAATGATTAATGTCTTTCGTTCATCTCACTCCGTAGGAGCTACGGGTGCAGCGCCGAGTAACCTCTTGAAAAGAAAGGTGGCGCTACTTTATGAGATAGTCATTACTTACCTTGTCTATTCTGTGATAGGACCCCTGTTTAATAATTTGCTGCGAATGTTAAATAATTCAACTGGAAAATTCCTGAACATTTTGCTCTTTGACCAGCAGATAAACAGCAAAAAATCCTGCGAGGCGATTTATCACAGAAAAGGGCTGGTAGTCTTATTGCAGCTGGCTCTATTATGCACTGAGCAACGATGGACCAACTTCTATAGAGAACATATTGTCTTTCGAAGCATAAAAAAAGCAAATATTCGTTTTATTCCAATTAACACCTCTGGGCAAGTTTCAATGAGAATTAAAGAGTTTGGCGCAGGCACATGGAATATCAAAGTCCTCAAGCGTATTCTCCCTTTCTACTTTACATAAAAAAGGGTTTGGAACTGAGATGAGAGTCAAGTGCGAAAAGAAGGAGATGCAAAAATGCGTTTCAATCGTATGTAGGTTTCTTCCAGACTTATACTCCCATTTTTGATAGTTCAATTGTTA